GAAAGAGACAAGTAAATTGAATATGAAAGGATGGAGAAAGATATATCATGCAAATAGCAATCTCAAAAAAACTGAAGCAGCTATACTAATATCACACAAAATAGACTTTAGAACAAAAAATGTTACTAGAGATAATGAGGGACATTTTGTAATGAGGAGAGGGTTAATGCATCAGGACGATATAATTATAAACACACATGCACATAATGAAAGAGCACTGACACACATGAAGCAAAAATGAAGGGTGAAATGGACAATTCAATAGTAACAGAACTCCACTTTCTGTTTTCTATTAACAACACAACACCACTTTCATTAATGTCTAGAACAAACGGCAGAAGATTAATGAGAAAAGAGAAAACCTGAGCAGCACTATAAACCAACTAGACCCAACAGGCATCTATAAAAAACTTCTCCTAACAACAGAATAATATTCTTCTCATGTGCTCATGGAACTTTTTTTTAGGATAGGCCATCTGCTAGTTAAGCCATAAAACAAATCTCAGAAAATTTAAAAGGATTGAAATAATACTAAGTATGTTCTCTAAATGCAACAGAATGAAATTAGAAATTAATAAAAAAAAATGGAACACTCACAGTTATGTGGAAATCAAACAACATACTCCTAAATAACTAATGGGTTAAAGAGGTAATCAAAAGGCAAATTAGAAAACACTTTGAAATGAATGAAAACGAAGATACAACATACCAAAAATTATGGGATGCAGCAAAAGCAGTGGGTTAAAGGGAAATTTATAGCTGTAAATGCCTATATTGAAAAAGAAGAAAAATCTCAAATCATTAACCTAAACTTACACTGATGACACTGGAAAAAGAACAGCAAACTAAACCCAAAGCACGCAGAAAGAAGGAAATAAATATTAGAGTGGAAATAAGAGGCAATAGAAAAACAATAGATAAAATCAGTAAAATCAAAAGTGATTCTTTGAAAATATTAACAAAATCGACAAAGCCTTAGCTAGACTGACCAAGAAAAACAAGTGAAGAGACTCAAATTACTAAGGTCAACAATGAAAATGGGTACACTGCTACTGAACCAAGTGAAATAAAAAAGGATTACAAGAGAAACTATCAAGAATTCTATGCCAATAAATAAGACAAAATAGACAAATTTCTAGAAAGATAAAAACTACCAAAAATGATTCAAGAAGAGACAATTTGAAAAAACCTGTAAGTAAAGATACTGAATTAACACTAAAAAACTATCTACAAAAAAAAAATCCCAGTACAGATGGTTTCATTGCTGATTACTATCAAACATTTAAAGAAGACTTAAAACCAGTATTTTGTATTACCAATATTCCAAAAGATAGAAAAGGAGAAACACTTTTGTGAGACAAGTATTACCTTAATACCAAACCAGACAAATACAAGAAAACTACAGATCAATATCTTCAATAAATATGGATGCAAAAATCCTCAACAGCCTACTAGAAAACCAAATCCAGCAACACATAAAAAGATTATATACCATGACCAAGTATGATTTGTCTGCTTTCCCAGGAATGCAAGGTTGGTTTAATATCCAAATATCAAATAATGTTATACACTATATCAATAGAATGCAAACCAAAATCCACATGATCATCTCAATATATGTGGAAAGAACATCTGACAAAATCTAATACCCCTTCTGATAAAAACATTCAAGAAACTAGGAAAAGAAAGAACTTAGCCTGATAAAGGGCATTTATGAGAAAACCTATAGCTAACATTGTATTTAACAGTGAAAGACTAAATTTTTTCTAAGAAACATAGTTTTAGGGAAAAAAATAAGTTTGATCTTATTATTTTATTTCAACACTGTACTGGAGGTTTTAGCTAGTGCAGCCAAAAAAGAAATAAAAAGCATTCACAATGGAAAGAAAGTAAAACTGTCTTTATTTATAGACAACATGATCATCTATATAGAGAATCCAATGAAATCTCCAAAAATTTATAGGAAGTAGTGAGTTTAGCAAGGTTGTATGATAACATCTCAATATACAAAAAACAATTGTATTTCTACTTATTAGCAATAAACAACCAAAAATTAAAACTTAAAAATTGTCATATATAATACTATCAAAAACATGAAATACTTAGGGATAAATTTGATAAAAGACGTGAAAGACCTTTATATTGACTCCTACAACTGCTGGGAAAAAAAGAGAAGACCTAAATTAACAAGAGCTATATCAGGTTCATGGTTTACACAACTTAATATTGCTAAAATGTAATTTGTCTCAAAATTAGAGATTCGACTCAATACCATTAAAAATAATAGCACCCCTTTTTTAAAAAAAGAAACTGAAAAACTCACTCTAAAATTCATATGGGATTGCAAATGACCTAGAATAACCAAAACACTTTAGAAAAGGGAGAACAAAATTGGAGGACTAACACTACCTGATTTTTTAGAAAAGATTTTATTTATTTATTTGAGAGAGTGAGTGCGCATGCATAAGCAGGGAGGGGGCAGAGGGGGAGGGAGAGGGATAAGTCAACTCCATGCTGAGTGTGGAGCCTAACGTAGGGCTCAGTCTTATGACTCTGAGATCATGACCTAAGCTGAAACCAAGAGTCAGCTGCTTAACTGACTGAGTCACCAAGGTGCCCCAACACTACTGTGTAGTAACTGTACAATCAGTGTTACTGGTTCTAACACTTATTATAGAGCTACACAATCAAGATGGTATTCATAGTAAGACAAATAGATAAGTTAAACAGAATAGGGAGTCCAGAAATAGGCACATGTATGGAACAAAAGATTTTCTACAAAGGTGCAAATACAATTCAATAGAGGGTAATTTTTTCAACACATGTTGCTGGAAGCATTAAATATCCAAATTCAAAAACATGAATGGGGATCCTACTTTGTACCACATACAAAAATTAATGGATCATAAACCTAAATTCTAGGAGAAAATCTTTGTGACCTTGGGTTAGACAAAGAATTCTTAGATATGATACTAAAGAGCAAATTGCTAAGTTGGACTACATCAAAATTTTAAGCTTCTGTTCTTTATAATTTTGAGAGAATGAAAACACAAGCCATAGACTAGGAGAAAATATTTGCAAAGTATATGTTTGATAAAGGACTTATATCCAAAATATACCAAAACAAATATCAAAACAAAATAAGAGAACAAGCAACTAATTAAAAAATGTGCAAATATTTGAAAAAAAGCTTCACCAAAGAATAAATATGGATGACAAATAGCATATGAAAAGATACTCAACATAACTAATCATTATTAAATGCAAATTAAAACCGCAATGATAAACTATTACACATACATACATATTACATACATACATCTACATTACATGTCATATGGCTAAAATTAACAGATTAATCATACTAAGTGTTAGCTAAGTAGGAATGTGGAGGAACTAGAATATTCATACACAGCTGGTGGGAATGTAATTTGTTACAAACAACTTTGGCAGTTTCTTAAAAAGTTAAATATATACTTACCATATATTTAATCCAGCCACTCCACTCCTATGTATTTACCCAAGGAAAGCAAAAGCCTGTGTCATACCAAAATTTGTACACCAAAGTTCATAGTAGTTTTATTTGTGATAGTTAACAACTGGAAACAACCTAAATGTCTATCACAGATGAAATGACAAATGAACTATGGTTTGTTCTATACACTACACAACAATAAAAAAGGAATTAACTACTTATACATGCTCTAATGGCGGTGATTCTCAAATAATTATGTTCAGAAAAAAGAAGCCAGACAAAAATGAATACATATGGTGTAATTCCAATTTTACAGAATTCTTAGACATGCAAGCTAAAGTACAGGGACAAGAAGCAGAACAGTAATTGTCTAGAGCTCAGCATGGGAAGAAAGGGGTATGAAGGAGGTATACAATATGGCAAAAAGAAACTTTTGGGGGTGATGCATATGTTCATTACCTTGTTTGTGGTCATGGTTTCACAGGTGTATACATATGTTAAAATCTGTCAAACTGCATAATTTAAATACATGTAGTGTATGTTAATCATATCTCAATAAAGCTGTTAAGAAATAGCTGAAATATGAAAAGTTATATTGAAACTTTATTATAGCTGATCCAGAGAAGTAGCCACAACTGTCAAAATTTGAGTTAACATAACTAATTTACTAACTAAAATCTGAGTTGCTCTGGCTAATCTGAAGTAGGTACTACTTAATAAACTGGTTGACAGGCAAGCGAACAGGAACATCAAGGGAACTGAGATCAAGCTACTAACTTGGTCTTTACACTACTGTTTGGAATTTTAAAATTAATTTTTTTTTGCTCCTAACTTATAAGTAAAGTTTATCAGGAAAAACCTTATTAACCAGAAATGGAAGGACTAGAAACAGTGGTCATTCACATTAAATTCCAGTTAGCCAGGACTGCTTTCTGTTCAACTGGTGATCCCTAAGCAAAGAAGCATTCTAGGACTCTTACAGTCACTGCCACTCCGAATTCCTCTTTCAAAAAGTGAATGTGGGCAAAGGAGAGAGGAAGCCTCTTTTGTAGCATTTCTAGTAGAACAATTTTTTTCCTTTTCTATTTTTATGCATTATGTGATATTGTTTTAATTGAGTCAGATTTATCCAAATTCCAAGTTACTTCTTGTTTCTAAATTGAGCTCCTATGGAAGAGGAATTTATGCCTATTCCTTATCAGGGGAAGCTTTAGCAGTATACAGTAATTCCCTAAACTCTGGAACCAAAGAAAGCTCCAATTTATTATGTTTATGTTGTTCTTAAATCCTTCCTGAGGCAATATAATTAATTCTGTCCTCAGAGCCCAAAGGTGCTTGTGACCAAAATGTATAGAGCAATCCTAAAAACATGATTTCACTAAGAACATAGTGGTATGTCCCTTCATTCAAGAAGCCCAGCCAAACCCTATTTCTCTAATTAGAGCTAAAAGCCTACACTTTTTGACAGCAACCTTTATTAACTTATTTATAAAATTCCATGATTTTAGAGAAAAAAATAGGATACCTGTGTTTTGAATTCCAGAATGTTATTTCCTGGGTTAATTCTTCCGAGTAATATCAGATCCTTTATCTGCATACATTTCTTCCTAGTGCTGTGGTTTAAAGGCTTTTTTATCATACGTTGATGGCCACACACAGAGGAAGAGTTCTGACTGTCATTAGCATGGGGAACAGCAAAAGCTGATTTTTTAAGATATGATTTTGTCTGATGCCCAGTACTGCTGCTGCCTAAGACATCAGTCCCTTGATGTGCCAGGGATTCTAATGTCCCCCTATGTTGTTGCTGGGAAGCTATTTTCCTCTTTCTTCTTTTTGGATCACAACTGGTAGGAGCCTGATCACAAATAAAAGTCGATGGATGGGCATCATTTTCAGCAAGTATGCTTGTAGTCTCTGAAATATTGAATGTACTAGTTACTGCTGAAGGACTACTATAGGATTTGTGCCCTTCGGCTGGAGTTTCTATAAGATCATTTTCTTTTTGCAAATGTTCTGCTTGAGCAATAAAGGCAACAGGTTGGGATGGTAATTTAATCTTCTTACTGCCCTCTGAATGTCTGGATTTTGATAACCCATCCAAGGTACAGTCATTGACATTTTGTTTAGAATTCAGTTCATTTCCAGAAAATTCTTCTCTTCTCACTGTTTCTGAGTTTACACAAGTGTTGGTATTTTGGCTGTCATTCCACATTTCCAGAGACAACTGTGTTTCTTGCATGCTTCCACAAATAAGGCCTACAGGAGAAAGTGAACCTGATTGGGGCTGCAATGAATTTTCCAGACTGGTAAGCTCTTGGCTTTCCTTTTCACTAGAGATTTCTGAGCTGGATGGCAGCTTCCTCAAACTAGGATCAGACAAAGATGTAATGTTTTTATAGTTTTGAATTTTCTGGCTAATTTTTTTCTGTTTTTTTGCCACAACTAAAAGGTTCTTCTGTCTTGTGGCCAAGTTAGCCAGTTGTTCTCTCAGGACTCCTTGCTTAAATGATTCTATGGACACCCTAGAGAAAGAAACAGAAAGAGAAAAAAATACAAAAACAGTAGAAAACTTTTTTTTAGTAGTCATTTAGATTTTAAAGATATTCTGTCTCAATTTAAATTTAATCAGCCCAAAGTACACAAGAGTCTATTTTTGCAATGAATTTCCTCTGAGAGGGAAATGACTCTTAAGGTGAATAAGACTGCCTTTTCATAGAGGTGATGGTGTGGTTATCCACATTTACATTATTTACCAGTTGTGAGTCAACTCTGAAAAACAAAACTCTCGCTGTTTAGTTGGAAGGTAGCAACTGATGGCCAAGGAAGAATACCATACTTTAAATTTGGAGTTTGCTTACCTCTTTATAGTGGAAAGGTGTATCAGGAAGTAACATTTGGGAATAAGTTCCACTTAAGTTCCCTTAGAGCTATGGAGAAGTGAGACTGTTTTGTGAGTAATACCTAGGCTAGACCTGAGAAATGTTAGTCCATCAAGTAATTACTGTAATTATACTTTAAAGCTGTACAGAGGGACTACCCAGATAAACATTATCCTGTGTGACTATAAGGGGATTGATTTTGAGAGAAAATGGCTGATCCATACACCTTTTTCTTTTGGTTATACCCACCCATTCTACAGTGACCTTCAGGATACTAGACTCTTTGTTTCCAGTAGTTCTCAAACTTTTTGGTCTTATGACTTTTTTATACTCTTAAAAATTTTTGAGGAACCCAAAGGGCTTTTGTTTATATGGGTGTATCTATTAATATTTACTGTTTTATAAAATAAGACAGAAAATTTTAGTATATGTGCTGCCGAAGCGAGCACAAAAACAGAAAATTTTAAAACACAAGAATATACAAGCATACATTCCATTAGCTATTAGAATAATGATGTCATCATAGTTCATGTGGCTTCTAGAAAATTTCATTACACACTCATGAGAGAATATGAGCCAAAAAGGCAAATAACATCTCAGTTTTATTATAAAAATAGTTTTGACTTCACACACCCCTTTAAATGGTCTCAGGACCCTCAGGGATCGCCCTTAAGCAGCTGCTTTAAGGGACAGCAATAGTATAGATATCTGTCTCTCCTATCACAGTTCAGAGTTGTTGATATTGAATTCCAAGCAGAATGGATGTTAAAGTGAGTAGCAGATGTAAGTGGAAGAAGCAGCAAGAAGTTAGATAAGCAAACAAGTAGTAGCATAAAATGCAAGAACCTGGACAGAGGAGAAAGAAAAAAATTAGTAATATCACATTTAAAACAGAGTTCAGACAGAAAAATAAAAGTGCATTTCAGATTACAAGATTTTAAGTCTTACAGCAATATTAATAAGGATTTACACACCTGCAAACCCAACTGATCAGAAACTTTCCAAAATTCTCAGTATATTGTTAATCATAGGACATAAAAGAAAATAGAAGCTAGCCTTCTCCAAAGCCTTCTAGAAAATATCCTGCAGTCAATTACCCACCTATAGGTCTTTTAAGCTCACTTGCATTATACTGACAGGAAAATAGGAAATAGACATGAATTTGTGATACTTATTCACTGCAGGGAAAAACAAAATGAAGACAGAAGATTTATAAATGAAAACAGAAAACTGATTTTTAAATAAGTTCAGAAAAAAAATGGAATAGGCAATAGATGTCAAATGTTTACAAGAATATAAAGGAAATTAGAAAGAGCACATGTAAATAAATAATGTCAAGAAGGTATCTACAATCCCATATTCACGGCAGCATTATTAACAACAGCCAAGACATGGAAACAACCTACATGTCCATCAAAGGATAAATAAATAAAATGTGGTATGTACACACACACACACACACACACAAATATTATTCAGCCATGAAAAAGAAAGAAATCCTGCCATTTTTGACAACAATGCACAGACCTTGAGAGCATTATATCAGGTGAAATAAGTCAGAAACAGAAAAACAAATACTGTATGGTCTCACTTATATGTGGAATCTAAAAAACCACAAAAAACTGAACCCATAGATACAGAGAACAGTTTGGTGGTTGCCAGAGGTGGAAGGTGGAGGGTGGGTGAAATGGGTGAAGGGAGCCAAAAGGTACAAACATCCAGTAATAAAATAGGTAAGTCATGGGGATGTAATGTACAGCATGGTGACTATAGTTAATAATACTGTATTGTATATTTGAAAGTTGCTAAGAGAGTAAATCTTAAAAGTTCTCATTGTTGAGAAAAGAGAGGCATATATAGCTAAGTCTATGAAAAACTAATAGAAATAATGCCCAAAGAAAAAAAAATAACTTTTTTTATTATTATGTTCAAGTAGTCAGTATATAGTACATCATTAGTTTTTGATGTAGTGTTCAACAATTCATTAGTTGTGTATAACACATCTTTCTCAAGAAAAGGACCAAAAGCAGTATATAACCAATATCATCAAGATGAAACCTCTTAAAAACTCTAAGAAGTTTAGAAATACACAAAACTAAATAATATACATGGTTACACTGCTTGGAAAGATGACATTTGTGATAGCAAAAGAAAAATTTGTAATGTAAAAAATCTGAGTTCACTACAGAAAGAAATTTATTCTGGGGGGAAAAAAAGAAATTTATTTTGGGGATTCATGACCAGAGACACTTTCATAAAATTCTTGGCTGTACACAACTTTTTAAGATACTAAAATGTCTTAAAGGACCCAAATAAATAAAATCACGAATGAAAGAGGAGAGATTGCAACCAACACCAAAGAAATACAATTATAAGAACATATTATGAGCAACTATATGCCAGCAAATTAGATAATCTGGAAGAAATGGATGCATTCCTAGAGACATATAAACTACCAAAACTAAACCAGGAAGAAATAGAAAACCTGAACAGACCCATAACCAGTAAGGAAATTGAAGGAGTAATCAAAAATCTCCCAAGAAACAAGAGTCCAGGGCCAGATGGCTTCCCAGGGGAATTCTACCAAACATTTAAAGAAGAATTAATACCTATTCTGAAACTGTTCCAAAAAATAGAAATGGAAGGAAACTTCCAAACTCATTTTATGAGGCCAGCAATGCCTTGATCCCAAACTAAAGACCCCACTGAAAAGGAGAAATACAGACCAATACCCCTGACGAACGTGGATGTAAAAGTTCTCACCAAAATACTAGCCAACACGATCCAACAGTACATTAAAAGGATTATTCACCACGACCAAGTGGGATTTATTCCTGGGCTGCAAGGTTGGTTCAACATCCACAAATCATTCAATGTGATACAATACATTAATAAAAGAAAGAACAAGAACCATATGATCCCCTCAATAGGTGCAGAAAAAGCATCTGACAAAGTACAGCATCCTTTCTTGAATAAAACTCTTCACAGTGTAGTGATAGAGGGTACATACTTCAATATCATAAAAGTCATCTATGAAAAACCCACAGCGAATATCATTCTCAATGGGGAAAAACTGAGAGCTTTTCCCCTAAGGTCAGGAACATGGAGGGATGTCCACTACCACCACTGCTATTCAACATAGTACTAGAAGTCCTAGCCTCAGCAATCAGACAACAAAAAGAAATAAAAGGCATCCGAATCGGCAAAGTCAAACTCTCACTCTTTGCAGATGATACGATACTTCATGTGGAAAACCCAAAAGACTCCACCCCAAACTGCTAGAACTCAACAGGAATTCTGTAAAGTGGCAGGATATAAAATCAATGCACAGAAATCGTTGGCATTTCTATACACCAACAACAAGACAGAAGAAAGAGAAATTATGGAGTTGATCCCATTTACAATTGCACCCAAAACCATAAGATACCTAGGAATAAATCTAACCAAAGAGGCAAAGAATCTGTACTCAGAAAACTATAGAATCCTCATGAAAGAAACTGAGGAAGACACAAAGAAATGGAAAAATGTTCCATGCTCATGGATTGAAAGAACAAATATTGTGAAAATGTCTATGCTACCTAGAGCAATCTACACAGTTAATGCATCCCTTATCAAAATACCATCAACTTTTTTCAAAGAAATGGAACAAATAATCCTAAAATTTATAATGGAATATAAATTTCAACAGAAACTGAAAAATACTGGGTGCCTGGATGGCTCAGTCATTAAGCGTCTGCCTTTGGCTCAGGTCATGATCCCAGAGTCCTGGGATCAAGTCCCGCACCGGGCTGCCTGCTCCATGGGAAGCCTGCTTCTCCCTCTCCAACTCCCCCTGCTTGTGTTCCCTCTCTCACTGTGTGTCTTTCTCTGTCAAATAAATAAATAAAATCTTAAAAAAAAAATTGAAAAACACTGAATATATTTCAACATTCCTCTGGCTATTCCAAATAGCCAGAGGAATGTTGAAAAAGAAAAGCAAAGTGGGTGGCATCACAATTTCGGACTTCAAGCTCTATTACAAAGCTGTCATCATCAAGACAGTATGGTACTGGCACAAAAACAGACACATAGATCCATGGAACAGAACAGAGAACCCAGAAATGGACCCTCAACTCTATGGTCAACTAATCTTCGACAAAGCAGGAAAGAATATCCAATGGAAAAAAGACAGTCTCTTCAACAAATGGTGCTGGGAAAATTGGACAGCCACATGCAGAAGAATGAAACTGGACCAATTCCCTACACCACACACAAAACAGACTCAAAATGGATGAAAGACCTAAATGTGAGACAAGAATCCATCAAAATCCTTGAGGAGAACACAGGGAGCAATCTCTTTGACCTCAGCCATAGCAACTTCTTCCTAGAAACATCTCCAAAGGCAAGGGAAGCAAGGGCAAATGGGACTTCATTAAGATTAAAAGCTTTTGCACAGCAAAGAAAACAGTCAACAAGATCAAAAGACAACCTACAGAATGGGAGAAGATATTTGCAAATGACATATCAGATAAAGGGCTAGTATCCAAAATCTATAAAGAGCTTGTCAAACTCAACACCCAAAGAACAAATAATCCAATTGAGCAATGGGCAGAAGACATGAACAGACATTTCTGCAAAGAAGACATCCAAATGACCAACAGACACATGAAAAAGTGCTCAACATCACTTGGCATCAGGGAAATACAAATCAAAACCTCAATGAGCTACCACCTCACACCCGTCAGAATGGCTAAAATTAACAAGTCAGGAAATGACAGATGTTGGTGAGGATGGGGAGAAAGGGGAACCCTCCTACACTGTTGGTGGGAATGCAAGCTGGTGCAGCCGCTCTGGAAAACAGTATGGAGGTTCCTCAAAAAGTTGAAAATAGAGCTACCCTATGACCCAGCAATTAGACTACTAGGGATTTACCCCAAAGATACAAATGTAGAATCTGAAGGGGCACGTGCACCCCAATGTTTATAGCAGCAATATCCACAATAGCCAAACTATGGAAAGAGCCGAGGCGCCCCCAATAGACAAATGGATAAAGAAGATGTGGCATATATACACAATGGAATATTATGCAGCCATAAAAAAACAGAAATCTTGCCATTTGCAATGACATGGATGGAACTAGAAGGTGTTATGCTAAGTGAAATAAGTGAATCAGAGAAAGACAATTATCATATGTTCTCAGTGATATGAAGAATTTGGGAAACAAGACAGAGGATCATAGGGGAAGGGAGGGAAAAATGAAACAAAATGAAACCAGAGAGGGAGACAAACCATAAAAGACTCTTAATCTCAGGAAACAAACTGATGGTTGCTGGAGTGGAGGGGGGTGGGAGGGATGGGGTGACTGGGTGATGGACATTGGGGAGGGTATTTGCTATGGTGAGTGCTCTGAGTTGTGTAAGACTGTTTAATCACAGACCTATACCTCTGAAACAAATAATATATGTTAATAAAAATATTTTTGAAAAAGATACTAAAATATCTTTTTCTGAATATTTCAAGTAATAAAATAGAAAAATATCTTTCTGGGAAGTACAATTCTCCATGGAGGTAACAGATTAGATGACCTCATAAAGTCATTCTTTGGTTCTAAACAACATTTGTACTCCCAAGAAATTCTAGATCTAACTATTGTACCTAAAAAGGGATAAATTATGAAAACTCTAAAGCATTCCTATTTTTTTCACTCACCTGTATTTTTTAGCCAGATCATCCCTTTCTGCTTTCTGTTTGGCAAGCACATTATCCATAACCTCTTTTATCTCTAACATCTTTTCAATGTATTGTTCTGGAAACATGGTAATAAAATATAAAGTCAGTTAAATGAGAGATAGCAAACGTTAAATTTGATCACACAGGACTCAGCCTTACTGTTACTCTTAAAAAGCCATTATTTTCCTATCCTGCTCCCTAATATCAGTGGCCCAGATATATAAATCAAGGCTCATTGAATTATGCCACCCTATGAAAGTACCCTGAATACGGCAGGCCAGCCTGAGTTCTAATCCTGCTACTCCACTAAGCTTTGTGGTCTTGGACATGTCACATGACCTCTATGGTCACCTTCCTTATCTGTGAAAAGAGGTTAGTAAAGATAAATAGGAAAATAAATATTTTGTTAAAATTACTTTTTAAAATATAAAAGGAATACGTTGTAAAAAAATTTTTCAAACAACATGAATGTTAACACAGAAGAAAAATAACCCCCTGCTTCTCCTCTTTTTTCACTCCACAAAAGAGACTACCATTAATACTTTGGTAGCAGTGTGTTTATTTGTGGTGTAAAAGTTTTTAATATATTTAATGTATTATTCTATATATTTATATTATATGTAACTATATATTATATGTACTTAAAAATAAGAAGGATGCTATCAGTTCTTGTTCTCTACACTTAATACTTAGATAGGACTATATGATATCTAGGTTACTTAAAGATGTAGTATATAAAATTACTTTTACAATAATTACTTAAAATTTTCTTACTTTCTTCCACTACTTCCTAATTAAAGGCATCATGACCTCCCTCACCCATCACAAATCCACAAGATTTACACATAAATGTCAATTATGTCCAAATTCAGATTCCCAAGCAGTAAATGGAAAGGCTTAGATGAATACATTTCACCTCTTTTAAGTTACTTGTTATTTATTTCAGTTTTGGCTTTGTTTCTTAAGTTTTTTCCTTTTTTAGACCAATGCATATTTTTCTAGATAATTTAACTAGAGAAAATCAGTGGTGGGAAATGAAATCAAGTTCAGAGTAGGAATTTGTTCCCTTTGCAAATCAGACAAATAATTTGATCAGTATAGAGTCAGTGTTCCCAGAGTAGTTTCTGTCTTGTTAATATTATGACTGAGAATTAATCTCATATGATGCATGTGCCAAAAAAGGGGGGAAACCTGGATGATCATGAAAAATTTAGATATAAATTTGTTTGGCAGATTTGACATTATTTAATAAAAGATGTTCACACTATGTACCCTGTCACATTGGGTTTTTCTTTTTTCTTTTAAAGATTTTATTCATTTATTTGAGAGAGAGAGAGAGAACAAGCAGAGGGAGGGGCAGAGGGAGAGGGAGTAACAGACTCCCCGCTGAGTAGGGGGCCTGATGTGGGACTCAATTTCAGGACCCTGGGATCATGACCTGAGCTGAAGGCAGACACTTAACCAACTGAACCACCCAGGCGCCCACACTGGGTTTTTCTAACTGAAATTTAAATCACAGGTAAAAATAACATTATCATAGTAACCTAGAAGATTCTATATGTTTCTATAAAAAAGGATATAAAGAATTTTACATTAGAGACCCTGGGTGGCTCAGTCAGTTAAGCATCTGCCTTTGGCTCAAGTCATGATCCCAGGGTCCTGGGATCAAGTCCTGCATTGGGCTCCTTGCTCAGCAGGGAGCCTGCTTCTCCCTCTGCTTGTGCGCTCTCTCTCTCTCAAATAAATAAATAAAATCTTTAAAAAAAAAAGAATTTTACATTAACTTGATACTATATACTTAGTTGCCAGATACATTAATCATTGATATCTTAGAGAAAACCTAGAAATTGCCCTAATATATGTAAGATTTTAATATATGGTAATAAGGCATTAGAGAAACAAGGATGACAGAAATTATTCAACAAATAAGAGGCAAATAGAGTAGTAATATGGAGGTGGGAGACTCTAGTCTATCCTTATCTTGTGCCACATGTGGAAAAGAGATTTCAAATGAATAAAAGAGTTAAAACACTTAATAAAAAATAACATACGAAATGTTCAAAAAGTAAACATTTTTCTGGTCTGTTTGGTTGAGGCATTAAAGATATCTGATATCCAAGTGAATGCAAGACATCTATAAGAAAAACTTACAAAGAAATGTACACAATGGGATTCATTATTCTTGGATCCCTCAGCCAGATCAAAAATATAGAAGGTGTCAGAATAAGGAGGTGGTGAATTTGTAAAGATACTTCAGAGAGCTACTGCTCAACTGGATGGGAATTTCCAATATGAGTAGCCAAAGGGAGAGGTGAGGTTTCTCTCCTTTAGGAGAGAAAGGCTAACAGGGGCGGGGGTGGGGAGTCTCTCAAGAAGAGAGTAGTAACTTTCTTTTGAGGTGATGATGGACTCACACCTGGCTTCCTCCTTGAACACCTAGAGGTTGAGATCCTGCAGAGCAAGACTTTTGGACAGCTGGGGAAAGGGAAAGTTGCTGCTAGAGATTAACTGTCCTCCCTTCTAACCACAGGTCCAGAGTGCCAGGATCCTGACAACTTGGTGTGGAGCCTGCCCTGTGATCCTACGATGGCTTCTCCCTCAGAGAAAGAACCTGTATAGGGTGGGACACCAAAAAAAAAAAAAAAAAGAAAAAGAAAAAGAAAAAAGAAAGGAGGAAGGAAGGAGGGAGGGAGTAAGGAGGAGGGAAGAAGGAGGAGGAGGAAACTGAGAGGAGCCAGGGAAAGGAAAATGTGCTGTCCTGCCACACAGAAGCCAGACAGAAGCTTCAGAACAGCCTCAGAAAACTGCTCTGAAGACACTAAGTTTTAGACATTTGCCAAGGATTGATGGAGTCAATGCAGTCAGTATTTAGTTACTAGCCAAGAACTCTAAAGTCCCATTGCCTTCCTCTCCCCCGTTAAAGGGCAGTGAGACGAAAATAAAGGGATCCTGACTAAAAAGAATTAAATTAAGTTATGAAGCATAGGGATGGGGAGGGGAGAAAAGTTTCTAATCTTAAAAGCATTAAAAGAAATAGCAAAGGAAAGGCTGATACATTTTACTATACAGAATTTGAAAATATATGTACTTAAGCATAAATTAACATGTTACACATAAAAAGACAGTTAAGTAGCTGAAAAACATATTTACAGCAGTTAAGGCAGAAAAGGGGTCAATAACCTGATTACATAAAATGGTTCCTATTTATTAATAGACAAACAGGAATAGTCAATTCACAAAGCAGGAAATAAAACTAGAGAAAAAATACCACTAATAATCAATAAGGCAAGTGAAAATATGAGGCATTAGGCATTCTTGTTATTAAACTACTAAAATTAATTTAAATGAAAATACTGAAGCTGTTAGCAGTGTAAAGGAAAACAAACACTAATGTGTGTTGGTGAAAGTGCAAATTAAATTAGTATCTAATACTTTATGAAACAATTTATCAATACAAATCAATAGATTTAAAAATATTTATATATTTTTGACCCAGTAGTTCCAATTCTGTTAATATTTTTTTTTAAGATTTTATTTATTTGACAGAGAGAGAGAGAGCGCGCGCACAAGCAGGGGGAGCGGCAGGCAGAGGGTGAGGGAGAAGCAGGCTCCCTGCTGAGCAGGGAGCCCTATGTGGGGCTCCATCCCAGGCCCCAGAGATCATGACCTGAGCCAAAGGCAGCCGCTTAACTGACTGAGCCACCCAGGCACCCCAATTCTGTTAATATTTCCTAAGAACGATATATGCTATAGAATAGCAAAAAATTTTAAAAATGTAAATTTTTTCTCAACAAAAAGAGAAAAATTAAGCCCTGGAACATTTACAGAACAGGATACTACGTACCACTAAGAAAAACAGCTCTGGGGGAAAAATGTTAAAATGGCAAATTTGGCATGATCCAAACTATGTTTTTAATATTTTAGTGAGGTATAACTGCATAGCTAATTTTTTTTTAATATTTAATTTTTTATTTGAGAGAGACAGAGATAGTGAGAGAGAGCTTGAGCAGGAAGGAGGGGGAGAAGCAGACACCCCATGGAGCAGGGAGCCCTATGCGGGGCTCGATCCCAGGACCCTGGGATCATGACCTGAGCTGAAGGCAGACGCTTAACCATCTGAGCCACGCAGGCGCCCCTGCATAGCTAAATTCTTAGAAAAAGAAAGGAAACAAATATTGTGGTGGGACAGTAGGTAATTTTAGCATATTTTTTCATCTTTATTATTTTTTGAAGTATATTTATATGCCTTTTTAATAAAAAAATTATAAAATTAGGAAATTCACCTTAGGGGTATAAGACATTATAAATACTAAATAAAATATATGAACTATTCACATTTGTTTGAGGGTATAAGTTATTTTGTATTATTTTCCTCAAATCATAACATGTACCATATAGTAGGCCAAGATGAAAGGCAGAATGGGTATAATTTAAAAGGAAATAATTTTTTAAAGACTGTACAGTATGGACTAGGACAAGAGATGAACTAATAGTTGTATCCTGTTACACAAAAGATTGATAAAATATTTCAAATTACTTTTTAGCTAACTACTTAAACATTCAGATCTGCAACTATCAGGAGCTAATTTCTACCTTGTAAGTCAGAACTCAAGAAAACACAAGTGTGATCTATCAAAGATTTGCAAATAGTCACTGAAATTTTAAGAAATTCAGATTATTAGGTCAGGAATCAAAGTCAAATTTACCATTTTGAATCACTAGTGTTTTGTAAACAGGAAGACATCTATGCAGTGAGACATTTACCTGGTCTATCTGTTCATCTGAAAGGTATGAGGATTTGCCCTACTTGAGTCACAACTGCCTATTCCTTTACTGATCTGTTTTTAAGGGTTACCATAGTTGGGTGAAGTTGACGAGCTAAGGAGCAAAATAATCTCATCTCTAGTCACTATCTTACACTTTTTTTTCCACATCTTCATCTAAACATATCACCAGTAGTAGCTTATCTCTGATCATGGTTCTAAGTATCTCTCATTTTACTCATGCTATACCTTGAGTCTAGAAGTATCTTGATCAACAATTACACTAACTACTGGTTTGCATAAATGACTTATAATGCCCAATTCCTGGCACTTTATTATCACATAAAAAAAAAGTTTACTTTTCAGCCACCATAAGTAAGCTCTGACATAAACCTGTACCTTAAGAAGCAGAGGGAGCAATGACCTTGGATGTATGAAATAATCAAACTTGAGTATGGGTCCATATTTACCTGCATCTTCAGGGGTTCTTATTTCAAATTCTAGTAAATTTTCTTGTTTTTCTTCTATATCTTGTAGAATAGCACTGATGGTCTGATGCTATCAGATAAAAACATTAAAAACTTCATTACAAGAAGGTAGATATTTCTGATACACAATTGTCAAATGCACAGTAAAAGTGCTAAAGAAAGTGCTGCTAAAATGCTCATTTCACTTTATGTTCGAAATGTATTCATGCTTTGTTTAAACTTAACTGTATAAATGTTGTGTATTTGTGGGGAACAAGTAAACCTAAGTATTTTGATTTATGTAGCAGATCTACTCCTGGTAAACAGAACATATGAGTAGCAGCCATATAAAGGTTCATAATTTCTCACTGACTTCTGTTATAATCATAGCTGTAGGTGATAAAAGAACAACTCAGCACATAATATTTAAAGGTCACATATATGCAATAAGTACACTTTAAGGCTTTATGACTATCACTGTACACTATTAAAATCTCCCACATAATCCTAAAAATACAAAACACTACTCTCTCATGCACAAATGGGAATTAAGGCCACCTTTCCATGCCCTTGTTAGTACTGACTGTCCTGCCTAGAATGTCTTCAATTTACTTTGCCCAGATTCATCTCTTTCTTATGAGAGAAGTAATCATGGAGTGGATTCTGGAACTAGACTGCCTGGGTGTGAATTCTGACTTCACCTCTTCCTAGCTGGGTGGCTCCAGCATGTTACTTCTCCTCTCCTTGCCTGAATAGAGTAACACATGTAAAATGCTTCGGGCAGTGCCAGCAAAACACAAGAGTTCAATAAGTTCGCTTATTATTATATAAAACCCGAATCATACATGAAACCTCTGGCTAATCTAATTCATATGGATTTCTCCTTTTTCAGAATTGGTTAAGAATTTTGGTGATATAGGGGCGCCTGGGTGGCTCAGTCGTTAAGCGTCTGCCTTAGGCTCAGGTCATGATCCCAGGGTCCTGGGATCGAGCCCCGCATCGGGCTCTCTGCTCCGCGGGAAGCCTGCTTCTCCCTCTCCCACTCTCCCTGCTTGTGTTCCCTCTCTCACTGTGTCTCTCTCTGTCAAATAAATAAATAAAATCTTTAGGAAAAAAAAAAGAATTTTGGTGGTATATAATTTAGCATTAATATATATAATGTCTTACACATTATATTTCTCTATCAAGAAAATAACATCTTATAGGCAGGAGCATAGCTTTTATATTTGTGAACAGTTCCCACACAGTTGGATATATAGCTGGCGCTCAATAAACAAAGACTGATGGACTGACTCATATTACCTATCCTTTGATATATTCTCAATATACATTCATTTAAACAATATGACAGTCCTCAAAGCCTTCTAAAGTACATTGCCCTGAAATTTTACTTTGGTGCCTACAGGGACATGAAAAATGCACATAATAAAACCATCCAATTATGTGGAAAAGCAATCTTACTGCTGTCATTTATGAAATGCATCAGAGCAGAACTATAAAACATAAATATGCAAAACAAACAAAATGAGATTTATCTCTTTTTACAATGAATGGCTATAAAAGCAAACTAAAGGTCTGAATCTGAGCCAGGTCAGGATAAAGAAAACATTTTTTTGGTGCTGATTTTCCATTTTGCTTTGCTCATATTGTGGATGCACTCAGTCTTGGCTACCATGGGCAACAACCTTCAACTCCACACCAGCTTTGCCTTCCATCATGAAGGGGCCAGTATAACCTTCCCTCCAAGATCCCCCTTCTTAGTCCTTCATTACTGCTTTTTTATCTTAAAAAGAAATACCAAAAAACCCAACCTATGATCTGTCTTTGGAACAAACAGCTTTAGACAGTTTATACTGTGCTTATGGAAAGCTTCACTATAATTTTATTCCAAATTTCCTATTTTTCATGGCAGGATCATCTTTGACTCTGATACCTCTCTTACAATTTTGTACAGTATAGCACTGTGGTAAGAAGCATTGGCTCTGGGGCGCCTGGGTGGCTCAGTTGGTTAAGCGTCTGCCTTCAGCTCAGGTCAGGATCCCAGAGTCCTGGGACTGAGCCCCGCATCGGGTTCCCTGCCCAGCCAGAGTCTGCTTCTCCTTCTCCCTCTGCCCCTGCTCCTGTACTCTCTCTCTTGCTCTGTCTCTCAAATAAATAAATAAAATCTGAAAAAAAAAAAAAAAGCAGCACAGGCTCTGCAGCTAGACTGCCTGGCACTGCTTTAATTCTGGTATTGCTACTTAATAGAAATGTAATTCTGGATTAAGTTACTTAACGTCTTTTACTTTAGCTTCCTCAACTGTAATAAGGAAAATATAATGAGAATAACAGAACGCACCCAGAAGGGTTATTATGAGGATTAAAATGAGTTAATATAAGGACTTAGAGGAGAGCTTATCATATAATAAGTATTCAGTGAATACCAACTATTAGTATTATTACTCCATCTACACGGGTATAGAGAAGGAAGCTGCCTACATGCTGTGATCTAAAGGTGTTATAAGGTGGCAGCAAACTAAAATCATCTCATTTCCTTTGTATCTGGCCATAGAGTCACCCATCTCCCCAATTGGATTTGAAGTTTCCAACATTCAAAAATAAGTTTACATTTACAAAGGACTAACCCCTAATGACTTTAAAGTCCTTATATTTCTTGAGTTTTTCTCCTTTTCTAAAGTTGGTTTTCTTTTTCTTTTTTTTAAATTGAAGTACAGTTGACACATAATATTACATTAGTTTCAGGTGTACAACAGTAATTTGACAAGTTTATAGTTACATTATGCTCACCACAAGTGTAGCTCCCATCTGTCACCATACAACACTATTACAATATCATTGACTGTATTACCTACGTTGTACCTTTTATCCCTGTGCCTTATTTATTTCATAACTGGAAACCTACCTCCCACTCCCCTCACCCATTTTACCCATTCCTCCACCCAAAGTTGGTTTTCTTTAGACTCCTGTATCTCCATTACATTTTTTCTGAAGCTTGGCATGTGAAATAATATACATTACTCCTGAAGCAAACACCCATACAGTTAATAACAACAGGCAATTTTTCCAAGATGTCCTAATCTTTACATGAAAACATACCTTAAAGATATGGTGGGCTGAGCTGATAGAGAAGAACCTCTGCCTACTCCAAACACATGGAAACAGTATACAAAATACAATAAACTTTAAATATACACACACACAGGGGTGCCTGGGTGGTTCAGTCGTTAAGCATCTGCCTTCGGCTCAGGTCATGATCCCAGGGTCCTGGGATCGAGCCCCGCATCGGGCTCCTTGCTCTGCAGGAAGCCTGCTTCTCCCTCTCCCACTCCCCCTGCTTGTGTTCCCTCTCTCGCTCTCTCTAATAAATAAATAAAATCTTTTAAAAAAATATATACCCACACACAGCTAAGAATGGAAAATGACTGAAAAATTCCCTGGTGTCAGAAATGAAACTAGTGGTGACCCATCAGGGATTTGGAACAAATATAGGTATTAGGGGCTGGGTTTTTAATGCTCACAAAGGAAAAAGAGGCATGAAATCCCCACATAAAGTTAGTGACCTTAGGTTAACTAAAGGTTAGAAAAACTCTACTTGTCACCACCCAAGGCTTTGGGTAAAAAATCAGAGACTCAAGCCTATACCACACATGTATATAAGAACTAAATTTATATAATTTGTGTGGTTTAGGAACCCAAATTGAGAAACTGTGTAAAACTTGTGTGAAATGGATAAACTTCTAGGGCCTCAGCAGATGCAAATGTTCAACACAAAGGTTAGGCACACCAAAATTCCCACAGTTATCAGTCCTCATGGAAAGGGGATTATAATAAAAAATTAAAAACCACATAAAGAATCATGTTATCATGAGAAAGAATCAGGAAGAGACTTTGAAATTCCTTTTAAAAAATGTTTGGATTTTTAAAAATGCTATCAATATTTTAAGAGCATTAAAGTCTTTGTTTTATTTTGTTCTTTCTTTAAAACAAAAAATTTGAAAAGCAAACAGAATTTCTAGAAATAAAAAACAGTCATTTAAATTAAAGACTCAATATATGGGTTAAACAGATTAGAAATATTTGAGGAGAATAATAATGAACTGGAAGAGAAGTCAAAGGATATCACACAGAATATACTGTGGAGAGTTAAAGAGATGGAAAATATGAAGAAGATACTAGAAGACATGGAGACTGGTCTAAAAGACATCTAAATAGAGATTACAAAACAGAAAAATATTGAGAATGGAGCAGGGGCAATTTTCAAAGGTATAAGGACTGGAAGTTCCTGAAATACAAATGAGAAATGTGCCTTCAGATTAAAGGAGCATTTCTAGGCCTGATTATAATTAATAAAAACACTCTACATTTAGACACAACTTAGTGAAAGTGGATATAAAATCTGTAAGATTAAAAGACAGATTATCTACAAGGGAATGACAGATTGATGGTTGACTTTCTGTCCATGACAACAGATAGCAGGAAACAATGTAAAACATTTTCAAAGTGTTGAGGCAAACGTAATTTAGTTTGAATACCACTTAAGATAAAATATTTAAGCTATAAATTTGTTGATTAATAGTTTAGATTCAATGAATGGCAATGTCTTCTTTACAATGACTAACAGAAAGCATGTAAGAGAAGTCTCATCAACATACATAGTCTTTTTTTTTTTTAAGATTTTATTTATTTGACAGAGAGGGAGAGAGCACAAGCAGCAGGAGCAGCAGGCAGAGGGAAGCAGAGGGAATCAGGCTCCCTGCTGAGCAAGGGGCCTGATGTGAGGCTCGATCCCAGGACCCTGTGATCATGACCTGAGCCAAAAGCATATGCTTAACGACTGAGCCACCCAGGTGCCCCTCAACACACATAGTCTTATTCAAAATAATATTTCATTGAGGATACTTTCTTAAGGAGTTTCTAGTAAGCTTTATGTTTTTAATCAAGTTACACATATCCATCTTAACAAGTAACATTTTTTGAGCAACTACTATGTTATTTTTGTATAAATATACTTTATATGAAGAGTTTCACATATAGCAAACACTATCACTATAAACCATGTGAGATCCCATGTTGGCTAATCCCAGTTGTTTTTCTCTTCTCTGTCTGGGTTCCAGGATCTTTTCTACTTACTATGCATCCTAGACTTTTTGTGGGAGTGGGTGGATGAAGACACACTATGATAGTGGGACAAGAAGTAGCTAAAGAATACAACCTAGTTGTAAAGAATAGCAGCTAATCTGTAATTCTGTATTCAATGCAGATAAGTGAGTTAACTGTACAACATATTTTCTTGGCTCATTAACTACATTATTTTCTTGTAACAAAAAATATGTTCAACCCGTGTGTCCTTAAAATGCAAAGAATACTGCCAATAGCCAATGGCTGGCAGGTCCAAAGAATGGCATTTTCTTTCTTTTTTTTTTTTTTAAGATTTTATTTATTTATTTATTTATTTGACAAAGAGAGAGAAACAGTGAGAGAGGGAACACAAGCAGGGGGAGTGGGAGAGGGAGAAGCAGGCTTTCCTGTGAAGCAGGGAGCCCAACGCGGGGCTCGATCCCAGAACCCTGGGATCATGACCTGAGCCGAAAGCAGACACTTAAAGACTGAGCCACCCAGGCGCCCCACGAATGGCATTTTCTAAGATGAAAAATGAAAGGATTTCAATGTTACTCACCACAGGATGGCTTTCTCTTGTTTTTTCTCTGTGTGAAAGAGAAGGTGGATCAACAGTTTTGCAGTCATCACAAAAACACCGTTTAAGTCTTTTTGGTCGGACAGCAGGAATTTTGACTTTAAAAATTAAAATTAGAAAATATAATAATGTGTAAAAATTTAGCTTCATTTTATCAATTTTAATGGTGACAGGAATAGAAAGAATAAATTAAGTCTACAATTACTATAATAACTTAATGTTGATCAGCATCTCATTATTAGTATTAATTCAGTGATTACAGCTAACATTTACTGAATACTTTTCACACAGTGGATGGCAAACTCTTTTCCTGAACCATCTTAATCTTCATAGGTAGTTTATTCTGTCCATTTTACAGAAGGGGAGAATGAAGCTTAGAGGGATTCGGGAAGTTTCCTTAATGTCACACAGCTAGTACTAAAAACAGATCTGATTCCAAAATCCATGCTCTTAATCACTATGTCTACAATTCATTGTCTCTGACCCTCTTCCCATTCTGGATTCCCTTTCTTCATATAACTATTGTAACCTACATCCCTCATCCCTTTAGGGTACTTGATCAAGGAAATGTATACACAAGAAACAACAGACAAGTGGGAATTGATACAGCACTTCCTAACAGAGTGCCCAATAACTCCAAGGGAGGGAGAGAGACATGGCTGTGGAGAGGGAGAGAGACATGGCTGCGGCTTTATACTGGAGCAGGCAATTAAAAGAGGAACTTGTTTCAGTCTTGACCTTGACCTACACATGATCTATCTCACTAGTAAAATATGAGACAGTGATTATCCTTGGCTCTGACCAATCATATCAATAATATAACTCCTCTCTTGAAAATCAACAACTGGTAAAGATAGTGGTAGGCTGGGCGAAAAGTGTGTGACAGGGGTTCTCTTCCCAGTTATTCTGCCCCATAGGGAGAAAGGGCAGCTATGTTCCGGGTTTCTCGTATGAGTCAAGGCTCAAGCAGGACAGAAAAGGAAGAACAAATCACTCTCCTCAACACTTAATAAACTGTGTTTAGCTGTTTGTTTTCTGGTTGATCTCCCCACAAGAATATGTACCTCATAGGCAAATACTCAATTTGCTTGGCAGGTTCTCAACAAATATATGTTTTCTAAATTAGTGTTTACTACATGCCTATTTCTTATAGATAGTTCATTATATTATTTAAATGCAACTATTTCTAAAAAATGGTTCATAAAATTTTGCCTCACTGTAAATTCCCTTGAATATTTTTACACTATATTTACACATACATATATGCATACAAGTATATTTGCTTATTAACAAATTCATATTCTAGCATTAGAACAGTAGAGTATTGAAAAGTTTGCATCAGGCCCTTTCACATGAACCACTACAAATTTTGAAGTAATGGGATCTTAGTTGCAAAGATTTTAGTATAATGCCAACCTTTTCCATCCCCACTACCAGTAAGCCAATTTGTGTGGTTCCAGTTACGTCTCTATCTCTAGAGATTAATAATTGTTTAATGAATAATATGGGTTGCATTTCAACATGTAATTCCAATCCAACAGGATCATATATGATATGGTATATAAATTAAACCAATTTGGAAATGCTAACTTCTAAAAATAAATAATGCTCTTCAAGAGTTTAATAAACACACAAAACATCTACCCCAGTTATGAAACAATTTACACTACAAATCTGAAGATTTTTCTAAGCAGAGGTATAAACTTGTCTAAAATAGCAAAAAGCAATACTGACATACATACCAGTGTCTGTAACATTACTTTCATCTCTATCATCAGTTTCAACTGCACCATAAGATTTCAGCAGCTCTTTCATTTTTTCATTATCTGCTTCATCCAAAGCAGTCTTCTGCTTTTGATTCTTTTGATTTGGGTTTGCTCCATGTTGTAGTAGAATCTCAGCTGCCTAGAAGGTATTTTTCCAAAGTTATCTTTATAGACACCTAAGATCAATAATTTCTGCTTTCATTATAAGTCACCACTATTAAAAGTTATCAAAGTATTAAAAGTTATCAAAAGAGGTTTCAAACTCTGGCAAAGAAAATTTATTAAATTTGATATGAAAGCTGTAAACTGCTCCATGAATTTGACCCGATCTTTCCTCAGAGGATAACAAAACATGACGACACAAAAGTACCAGATACGCTGTCTTCATTGCAATCAAGAAGTAAACATGGGCAGAATGACACGCAAGACTATCTCTTTAACAGAGCCCTTTGTCTCTTCCTCCAACCTGCATTACTGTATTTTAGGTATGTTGCTTGTTCAAGAAGTTTAATGAGCTAGCTTGAAAATCCAATGACCCTTCTAATAATGTTTGTGCAAATCCGTCATGTGTCTGAAATAAGTGACTTATATGCACAGAATGCAAAAGGAAACTTAGAAATAATCTACTTCAACCCCATCATCTTACAGAAGAGGAAACTGAGGTCACAGAGGTTGTGACATTGGCTGGGGGGCAGTTTCTAATATAAATAAGGTTTCTCTAACTCAAAGCTGTTGTATATTAGAAGTTTATAAATGATCAAAGTTAAAGATGTTACTAATTAGGTTATAGTATAAGTCAACTAGTGAAAAAAAAGCCCATGATTCCATCTGTGTGAGGCAAGCAAGTGACTCAAATAACTGAAAAACCTGATTAAGAAAAGATGGTCAGGATATGCTCTGTGTTAGTGACTTATTTCTTTCTCTGTATGTCCAGGTATGGAGAAGCAGAGAATTTAGGAGCAAATGGGCCAGTGAATTTGATAAGGATAGCCCCTCATTTGTTCCATCCGCCTGGAGTTAGTACAGCATAAAAGGAAACACGTCTGTTTTAAAGTCGAGCATACAAAACCCACTCCTGCTACCTACTAGCTATGTCCTTGGGCAAGTTATTTACCATTTGAACCTCATTTTTATCATCTATGAGAACTAAATATGAGCCCTTGTCAAATACCTTGTACATAGTGGTTCTTAATGAAAGTGGGCCCCTAAAACCTTTTTTCTTTAGAGGAACAAAAAGACCAACCGAGGTAATGAGAGACAGTAGATAATAAACAGCATATGAAAAAAGTCTCCTGCAAAGATTTTTGATGAAAATTTAATGAAGTCTAGTAAAGGTATTTTGTTCTGTTTTTAAAAGATGGGATGAGCAGTACCTCAATCCAGTGGTTTCTAAGCCTGAGTGATTAATAGTCACCTGTGGAATTATTTAAAAATACATATTTCTTACACCCTCTTTCCACTGCTATATACGGGGTCAGGAGAAAGCTGGTTTTTTTGTTTGTTTTTTTAACAAAGGAAGCTTTTCTAGACTTAAAAATCATGCCATATTAATGATAACTATTCTGTGTGTTAAGATGAGGCCTTCCTCTAAGGGCTTGACCTTTAATGTGTTAACATGGATTCATTTAATCAATTGGTTTGGAAGACACAGAACTCAGCTCAGCGGGAATAGGACCCTGAACAGCTCTGCTTCTGTAACACTCATTAGTAGGAAAAAGCCTAAAAAGCCTAAGAGAACAGCAAAAGGGCCACAAGGCACTAAATAGGAAAGGCTAAAGCTATAGTTGGGAGAGAGTTTCAAGTAATACGATGGGAAGACCTAGGAACAAAGAACTTGACAAAAATTAGGTGATCAAGCAGTAGGCCCCTCTCTCTCTCTCTTTTTTTTAATCAGCTTTACTGGAGTAATCACTACTATAACCATGAATTAGAAACATTCCATCATTATAAAAAAATTCATTATGCCTCTCTACAGTCAATCCCTCCCGACCTCCCTTTGGCCCTTGGCACTCAGTAATCTGCTACAATCACTATAAAATTTGCCTTTTGTAGTATTTCATATGAATGGAATCATATAGTATAAAGTCTTTTTTTGTGTGTCTTCTTTAAATTAGCATAATGGTTTTGAGATTCATCCATATTGCTGTGTATACCAACAGTTTGATCTGGCTACTTGCTAGCTGGTATGAGAACAGTGCAAGAACAGTGAATGGAAGTTATACCTATTCTTCCATGCATGTAGAGAAGTGTATAAGAACACTTACAAAAGATATTCCTAGGAGCGCCTGGGTGGCTCAGTTGGTTAAGCATCTGACTCTTGATTTCACTCAGGTCATGATTGCAGTCATGGGATCAAGCCCTGCATCAGGCTCTGCACTCAACATGGAGTCTGTGTGTCCCTCTCCCTCTGCTCACCGCCCTTCCCCCCCGACTCTCTCAAATAAACAAATAAATAAAATCTTAAAAATAAAATGTTTCTAAGAATGCTACTTGCAAGGTATGATGAGAATATTGTTATTTCAGTGAATGGAAATTATAGATAATGTATGTAGTATGTATGTAGTATGAGAGGACTGTAGTATGAGAGGGTGTAAGGAATGTAGTATGAAAAGGACACTCTTCAGTGTATGTCGTATGAGAGGACACTTGTAATAAAGATGTTTCTAAGAAAGAGTAGTTTGTTCCTTTTAACTATAAATCTATGTATCCATTTATTTATTTACCAGTTGTTAAGACATTTGGGTTCTTTCTGGTTTTTGGCTGTTATGAATAAAACTACTGTGAACATTCGAGTACACATCTTTATACGAACAAAAGGTTTTTATGATTTCTGTTAAACCTCTAGTTTTGTTCATGTATTGTTTCCCTAATTTTACTGAGTTGTCTGTGTTCTCTTGCAGATTGCTGAGTTTCTTTAAAACAATTATTTTAAATTCTTTGCCAGGCAATTCATAGATCTCCATTTCTTTGGGGTCAGTTACTGGAAAATTATCGTGTTTCTTTGGTGGAGCCATGTTTCCCTGATTTGTTATGTTCCCTGAAGTCTTATGTTGCCATGTTCATATTTGAAGACTCCTCTAGTCTTCACTAACCAGCTTTGGAAGAGACATCTTCACCTGTCAGTCCATCTACAGATTCTGAGGCTTTCTTAGACCTTTTCTTAGATCTTTCTGAGGCTTTTCTTAGATGCCCTTACTCCACACTCCATTTTCTCTTGGGGGAAGTTCTTAAAACTGTATACCTTCTTTTGATCCCACAAAGCCAAGCCAACTGTTGAGAGACTTATGTTTGTTTTTCCAAGGGTAGCTCTCTAAAATGTCCCCTGAAATCCTACAGAACTGAACTTTCTGTGTTGGCTTACTAGCAAGTCTGTAAAGGTTCACTTTCGCTGCGCACGAGAGTGCATACTAGGAGCTGGTCATTGGAGTGGAGGGAGTAGAAGGGGTATGCGGGTGATGTATGCAGAGCATTAGGGAAATTCAAAGAGCTAGTTGGGAGTTCTACAGGCAAGGCATCTCCAGCAACTTGTAGGTAGGCTTCCTGATGGGAGTCTGCAAACTGGGTTAGTAGGAAGAACTGTGAAGCAGTTAGTAGCATCCCTCTGTGAATTCTAAGCCTTTGCTGCTGTGTCCCCAGCCTCTCCCAGCCCTTCAATCTTGCAGATTAACTCAGTAATCTGGGTGAGGCAAGAGAGAAGTGGGTCTCTTGGCGTGTATTTTTATATCATTTATTAAGAATTGCAATTGCCAACTATGATAGTGGATTTGTCTATTTCTCATTTCAATTCTGCTTTTTCATTTATTTTGAAACTCATTGTGTGCACGCATTTTCAGGATTGCTATGTCTTCTCGGTGAAATATCCCCCTTATACTTATGAAATGTCCCTCTTTATCCCTGGCAATATTCCTTGCTCTGAAATCTTTGTTTTATGTTTCTAGAGTCACTCACTCTTTTGTTTTCATGGTGTTATCTTTTTCTTCATTTCCTCTTCTTCGTTGCCTCTGACAATCACTAATCTACTGTCTGCCTGTATGGATTTGCTTATTGTGGATGTTTCATATTAATAAAATCATATAATATGTGGCCTTTTGTGTCCATCTTCTTTCATTTAGCATAATGTTTTCAAGGTTCACCCATGTATCAGCACTTCATTTTTTTATGGCTTAATAATATCTTATTGCTATGCACCACATTTTGTTTATACATTCATCAACTGATGGACATTTGGGTTGTTTCCACTTTTTGGCTATTTGGAAAATAGCGCTATGAACATTCATATACAAATTTTTGTGTGAACATGTTTTCTTTCTTTTTTTTTTTTTTAGATTTTATTTATTTATCTGACACAGAGAAAGAAAGCACACAAGCAGGGGGAGAGGCAGAGGGAGAGGGAGAAGTAGGCTCTCCACTGAGCAGGGAGCCCGATGTGGGGCTCGATCCCAGGACCCTGGGGTCATGACCTGAGCTGAAGGTAGGCACTTAACAGACTGAGCCACCTAGGCACCCTGTGAACATGTTTTCAATTCTCTTGGCTATATACCTAAGAGTGGAATTTGCTACATCATACAGCAATTCTATGTTTAACTTTTGAAGGAACTGCCAGAGTGTTTTCTATAGCAGCGGTACTGTTTTACATTACCACCAGCCATGTATGAGAGTTCCAATTTCTTCACATCTTTGCCAACATCACTTTTACTTTTAAAAGATTTTTTTGCTGGGTATAGAATTCTAGACTGACAAGTTTATTTCCCCTTGCAGTACTTTTTAAAGATGTTGCTCCTTTGTCCAGTGGCTTGCAAAATTTTTGATGAGACGCTGGCTGCCATTATTTTATTTGTTCCTGTTCTTCCCATACAAATCAAAACCACAATGAGAAACCACCTCACACCAGTCAGAATGGCTAAAATTAACAAGTCAAGAAATGACAGATGTTGGCGGGGATGCGGAGAAAGGGGAACCAACCCTCCTACACTGTTGGTGGGAATGCAAGCTGGTGCAGCCATTCTGGAAAACAGTATGCAGGTTTCTCAAAAAGTTGAAAATAGAGCTACCCTATGACCCAGCAATTATACTACTATTTACCCCAAAGATACAAATGTAGTGATCCGAGGGGGCACCTGCACCCTAATGTTCACAGCA